TGAGAAAACGTTTTCCAAGATGAAGTACACAAAGAATGTTTACAGATCTCAATTAACCGATGAGCATCTTAAATCTCTTTTGATAATTGGTACAAGTAAAATTGATCCACAACTACAAAGTATTGTCGGTGGAAAATCACAATTACATAAATCTCATTAGTGTTTTTGTTTTACTGTGATTCATTTCAATTATTTGTTAGTTATTAATATGCTTAAACTTAGATACTTAAGTTAAGTTTTCTTTGTCATCATTTCTGTCGTTAAATTTTACCTTGCAAGTAAATATAACCGAGTAATTATCATTCTGTGTTTTCTTCTTCAATTCATCACAGCAATAGTAACAACAATTAGGTAATCATTGGCTGTCGCGGGCCAGATTGATGACAGTAAATCATTGGCTGTTGCGGGCCAGATTGATGACACTGGCGGGCCGTAGATTGGAGACCCCCGTTCTAGAGTAATATTATTACGAGTTAGAATTTTTGTTATAGTTTTACACTCCCAACACTGGTTGATAATTTCTTCAACTCTTTGATATAGCATCCAAATAATAATTTTGGTTTAAGAAAACCTTCACCAAAGAGGACACACAGAATAACACAACTAACTCTTCCATCTTTCCTACAAAACACAAATACTTTTTTTAGAGATCCCTGTACTTAAAGCTCTTAGTTCTCATTATCTCCCATTACTTCTTTGCAAAATTTTACCTTCAATAGTGAGTATTAAGACAATGCTCACATGGGATTTAGTGGATGTTCAATTTATGAAGTCAATTTAAATAGTACAGTTTTTGTAGGAGTTCATTTTTTTCACAAAAGAAATAGGACAAGTTATAATACAGCATACATATATAAATTTTTAAGTTAGCATTACGGACATTTCTGATATCATTGGAATTTCTCTTATAAATAAATGATACTAGTATCTTTTTCTCACCTATTTCTTCCAGTTCCACTCGCGGAGTTCTCAGGCCAGACTTTTTCAATATCATTTTATAAGATCTGAATATGATTTTACCATCTGGGGTAGCTGTGAAGCAGATGGTATGCTCCAAACCCTGCAGCCTAATGTGTTCTACATACTCTCTGTGAAAAAAATCTATGAATATAGATTTCAGTTGTTTAAGGTCTTGAGACTCTTCCCAGAGCGGTCCATTGAATAAAAGACAAGGTTTGGTGCCTAAAGTAAATTTTGGACCTCGAAATGAATTTAGACCTTCATACGACTCCACATTCAGTTCTATCATGTCCAACAGAGAGTAATCAAACATTCTTCCTATTACCAAGTTGTCTGGTCTTTTTTTACTATGTGATCCCATCAGAAATAGTGAAGTATCATGCTTCTTACAAAAATTTTCAACTTCCTTGGCATTTTCGAATATAGTGATATCATTTTTCCTATTCAAACTGACAGCATCGGGTTTCTTCAAATCATAAAAATCCTTAAGAAGGTTTCTGCATGTTTCCGAGCTTTTTCTTCCATGAAAAAACAATGCCCTCTTTGGTCCTTCTATAACTTGAGGTTCCTTCTTCAACAATACTTTTTTACCTTTGCGTGTGGTGGGTTTACTAAAAATTTAGAATTTTTTGAAATAATCGTCAATTAGATCATAACTTCTGGTCCAAGCCAGTAGTAAATCTCAAATAGTCCAAAAAGAGTTCTGTTTGGATTATGTCATCATTTATACTTACACCACACGTTGCAAAACAGACATTTTTACTGTTTTCTAAATTGTTTTTATAATACTTCTAGTAAATGTTTCAACACGTGTAGACAATAACCTCTTTCTTTTCTGCAACAAACGCCAGACATGACCACAACACCAATTCGCTGCCAACATAAGAAATTGGAGAACGTCTCGTGGCGGCAAAAATTTGAAACAGAATGTTCACTACTATTTTCAATTTTGGAAGGTGGGGATTATCATCATAATTATTAATTTAGAAAATTGAAATGATTCTGTCGTTTCTTTGTGAGAAATAATTATGACTTATAACCAACTACAAAAACTAAAAACAATAATAACAACAATGAATAAACAGAATACAAAATCAATTTCCGACCGTTTATTATAACTAATCCGATGTCCGTAGGACCATCAAATCCTTCGATACTACAGTACCTACTGAACGCGTTGGATGAGAATCTCATCCTAGGAGCGGTTGAAGGTCCCCGGCAACTAGGGCGTGGTAAGAGAGCCCACTGGTTGTATTATTCTACTGTGGTCTGGTGTTGAATCATAAATGGCGTTGTGTTTGGGCTTTGGTTCTCAACTATTTGCTTTGCAGTGAAAGCTGCAGTGGAAGACGAAGGACGAATCTCGATGGCAGTCGATATCGAAGCTTGGCTTTGCAATTGATCGCCATGGGAAGCCTCGTTTATCTTTGATATTCGTCAGCGGCGGCCTTACCCATTGTGAGGCTCCGGGTGGCAGGTCTTTGTGAGGCCCTTTGCCTCTCGTGAAAAGTATGTGATGCGAAAGTAGATTTGAACCAGTCAGGTAACCTTCAGTTAATTTTTTTTCTATTATGTATTTCAGCACCGAGATAATGTCGTTTTCTTCATATACGTGAATAAACATACTTAGTTCTTCGTACAATTCATGTCCATCAATATCACATGATTCCCCTACTGTCATAGACCCTGTATCGCGAACTCATTTCGTAAAACACTCGTTTCTAACTATAAATGTATTTTTGAATAATTAACAAGTTGTAACAAAATGTATAATCTAAGGAACTCGATTACTTAAACTAACTAACAGGAGGATATTATAACAACTAACTTTGTTTCCTACCAAACTGTTTCAAGTAAACTACATATTTATTTTCAGAGAGAAGAGTTACCAGCACAGAAAAACATTTTAAGTTCTGTGGTTACCAGACGTAAAATACGACATGACATTCCGAATAAAGGGCATCAGAAGGAGAGCGCATTATAATAATAACCAATTCGCCCAACTGGTTAGGTTAGATTGAATTAGACGAGTTATTCGGGATGAAGAAGCTTGAAGTGTGAACCTACAATAAATTATTCTGGAGAGGACAGCGAACACAACGAGGTGGAGGTGGAGGTGGAGAAATTACATATTTTTTTTGGTTGTGTGGTTGATGTTATGTAAAACACACCAAAGTAATTCTTGTTACAGCAATAACAAGGGGACATAAAAACCAAGGTTGCCTAAAATATTATTTAAATGTAGATACGTGTTTTTCAGTTGTATTTTTGAGTAATTGAGAAAAGTTGATTATTTATCGAGTGTGGCACTTATGGAAGAACCTATAGGCCTATCAGTAACATAGCAAATTATGGAAATTACAGTAGAAAAAGGCTGAATCAACTAGAATCCAAATTTAATTATTTCTCTGATTGAAACATATGAGAAAGATATTTTATCAGCTCAAATTCTACTGTTAACTGAAAGTGTAACTTATGAAACGAGCCTACAACTGAACTGACACAAAAAACAATGGTGCATAAATTTAAAAAAATACCTGTTGGCAATCCATTATGTTTTGCTGCTCTTGACAACATGTCGATGGCTTTGTCACGTTTTCCGACAAGAAGAAGCCATCTTGGAGATTCCGGAATTAGAAAGTAATAAGACAAGAGAAAAAAAGAAGGTGCTGATATTGCAATTTGAAACTTTCGCCATTCTCGAAGGTAGTAACTAATTAACGACATCATTGCATGACCCAACGACATCGGTACTTGATAAAGGATCGAAACAATCGTTCTTCTCTTTAGTCCTGCAAAAAAAAATCAGTGACTGACTAATTTATACCTAACATGCGAAATCTTCATTGTGCAAGATTTCAAAAATTGGACCCGTTAGACATATGTTATTTGATGGTTGGTTAATGAATTTTGACTCCCTGAAATCTTCTACGCTCTCCTGAATTTAATCAGTGATTTAGTTTTATCGGTTCATTTTTAGATAATTTGATAGATAGATAGATTGATTCCCAATAATCAGAAGAATCTTCTAGTTAGAGTGGTCTTGATAGAGTCTGCGGAGTTCGAACAGAAAATCTCGATATTTTATCTGTTTTTCCCCCTATTTCCGGACGATATTCGTCTCGCCGGGAACTGAAAACTCCACAACAAATATCGTCTTGCTCTGGTAATCGAGAAGGACTGCATCAGGCTTATTAGCTTGTATGAGCCTGAGGGTTGGGAAACGGAAAGTTCCAATAAATTCGGCACTTCTCGTTCCCCATAACAGATTCAATATCCCCCGTAGCGTAGAGTCATACCGACGTCTCGTCAATACCGTAAGAGTGCCGTAGATGGTAATGAAGCACTTTTAGGTCCGATTTCAGCCCACTCGAACTGAGGAAAGCGAAATTCAGGCGCTTTGATAAGCCAAGGTGTTGAATGTTATTGAAGGCTTAACTTTGTGTTGCCTCAGAAGAGAGGTGATCTTTGCGGCTTTTATATTATCCTTTTGCTGAACGGTTTCCAACTCGGTGACAGAGTTGTGATCACCTCGTTTAGTATCGAAAACTGAACCGAGTTCATTAGCTGCTCGGGCAGCTGCCCTAAAGAGAAATGCTCCAAATCCAGGTCTCTCATGGTCGCGGACCATGCAGAGAAGGGTATCCAAACTCCTGACGACTTTACAGGCTACATCCAGTATCATTTTGTCATGTAGACACTTTAAACTCACGGCCCCCCTGTTGTCGGGGGAAGTACAACCGTGGACCGGACGATTTCAGATGCAAACTCCTATAGAGATGCATCATTTTTCGGGTTTTTCTGTCGAGTTGATACAGCTCCCCCCGAGTCCACTTCACTACTCCAAACGAATAGAGTTAGATTGGAACGGCAAGCATATTTGTTGCAGCAACTTTGTTTTTCCCCGACAATTCCGATTACCAGATATGTCAAAGTTTGTGCTGATACTTGCCGCGGAGAGAGTTCTTCACTGCTATTACCTCTTGTGAGTGGCATTGTTCCACCCCGAAGTAAATATACGTCTCTCCGGCATCCAAATAGTGTAGGATGCTTCCATCTACGAGCTACACATCCTCTAAATAATTCCCGCATCGTCCTCTTTTGAGATGGACCATTGTACATTCGTCTATCCCGAATTTCATATCGATAGTATGCGTGTTCTCTTCATCCATCCTCAAGGACTGATGGAGAACCTTCTCTCCAGAGGCATAAAGTTTAAGATCCTCCATATAAAACAAATGGGTGACCTTGTGCCTTCGGTTTCCGGGGGTGCTACAGTTATACCCTCGAGTATTTCTGAGCGCAACGGATAATGGCAATAGTGAGATGCAGAAGAGAAGGGAACTGGGGAAATCGAACTGAAATACATCTATTCTGAAAGTGACCCACCCTGTTTGGACTCTGGCTTGACCAGATGTTATGGTGGAGCGAGCTCGCCAAAGTGGTATCAGTTGTTCAAGGCATCTCACAATTTTTTCGGGTACCGCAAAGCATCTGAGCAAATGCAAGATGAGCTCATATGATGTATCAATTGCCTTGCGATAATCGATCCAGGCCATAGAGAGGTTACGCTTATATTCTATCGAGTCCTGCGTTACACATTATTATCATTATAATTATCCGTTACATTTCAAAAGAAAGACTCAATTAGGATAAGCAGCTTGATAAGTCATTTCGATACGAAGCTATTAAACACACCGCGATAGTAGAATTGACGATGGCACAATAAAATAACTAAAAGCTACATTCTCTTTTGTAATATATTTGTTTAGTTGGCTTGTTCCTGATTCAGTTGGGCCTCTAAGGGATAAGGAAAAAAATAGAAACAAAACCCTTACTCATAAGAAGCAACGATATCCCTGTAATCACATTGGCTACAATCATAGTCCATTTTCTTCCCCAAGCGTTTGTTAACCAAGCGGCCAAAATCAAGCTAGGTATCTGAGTAAGGCCTGATATCATAACTTTAATGAAAATATCTCCACCAAATTTTCCAATGAATTGAGATAGGCCGTAGTAACCCAGACAACAAACTAGCCAATTGAAGCACAACACCAATGTATAGGTTCGCAAGATGGCCGATCTGAACAAATCTAAAACGTTTCCTTTTTTCGTTGTTTTTTTACTTGATCCACTCAAGTAATTATCCACATCTTGGGCGATCGAATCTGTAAGAAAAATAATGAAGAACAACTAATCTTAGGAAATACCGAAGTTGCCTAAAAGCCTATAAAATATGAGTATGAACACAGGAATATAAAAAAGTTAGGTATTTCACTAGTGGCAAAACTTCGACTACATAATACTTTCCCAAGATGATAATGACACATTCAAATTGCATCATTTTGCATCGTATTGAGGTATATGGAAAATTATTGTGACTAATAGGTTTCTGACATAGGTATCGAACATATATTCACAGTTTCAGCTGTTTAGTTTGTTGGTGATAGGCATACATGTTAGAGTTAGAAATGTTTTGAGTGTTCGGCGATTTTTTGCTATCAAAAAAATGGATCAACATTTTCATCAAATTTTGTGTAAAAAAGGGAAGTGAGTGCTCAGAAACACTTAAAATGTTTACAGTGGCATACACTGATTGTACTCTGAGTCAAAAAAATATTTACAAGTGGTACCAGTTTTCCACAGAAGGTCGAGAAGATGTGAGTGACGACGCTCGCCCTTGATGCCCCAGCAAATCAACAACCGATGAAAATGTTGAAAAGTGATGAAAATTCTCATGGAGAATCGTCGGATCACTATTAGAGACATTGCTGAGGATGTCGGCATATCGGTTGACTCATGCCATGCTTTTTTTTTTCCGAAACTGTTTGGAAACTGTGCAAGACATGATGCGTACAAACAAAAAAA